TGCCCAGACACCAAGTGCCCACAGCCCAGGTGTTCCAAAGGGACACCCCCTGGGCACTCCCAGACATCTCCCACTCAGAAAAAATGCATTTCTTCACAGCACTTGCCAAGAAAAGGCAGCATCAAAGGACGGCCCCCAGGTGTTATTCTACACAGAGACATGCAAAGCTCACTCAGGGACACGTGTAACACGGATTTGTTTGCCAAAGGAGAGGCTTCAACAGGCTGGGAAAATCCCTGGGGGGTTCCTGAGCAAGACACACTGTGTTACAGCAGGATCAGGCTGGGGTGCAGAATGCTTATTTCAAATTAACTCCAACAGAGAAATAATGAGCAGTGAGTTTATATTTCAGTAAATTAAGAGAGAAGCTTAGGTAAAATGTGGGTTTGTATGCACAGAAATAAATTATTATTTACTCACGTTTGTGCTCATGCCCTCAAATATGAAGATATTTGTATGGATTTATTAATATTTATACCACATTATAATAAATACTCACAAGAGCTTTGCATGAAGACATGCTATTTTACCAAGGTAAAATCTGTTGAAGGTCAAAGGGATCTTTTACCTGTGTGTGGATGGCAGGATCAGCCTCTTTACTTGAAAATCTGTATCAACCCTGATAATTTAAAACTTTAATTAAAGACTCAGTGACAGATTATCTACAAAATGTCTTCCTGCTGCCCAGTATTCCATCAGAAATGTCTTCAGAAGCCCAGGCTGAGTAAGCACACTTGCCAGGAAATATTTCACTGTGGACATGTTAGCTTTTATCTGGCTCGTTGGGTAACAAATTCTTTTGTTGAGGACTGGTGACAACAAAAATTAAGCTAGAGGCAAAACCAGACCCCAACCCAAAAATTTATAATATTTGTTTTGTTCATCTCTCAAGAAAATGAAGCACAGGAAGTTTCTCCCTTTGTGCACTGCAGTAGGTGAGAGTTACTTGGAGCTGGCAAAGCAGAGGAACCCATTTAATCTGGATCACAGATTAAACCAGATGAAGTGACGTGAGGGATGATACAGCAGGGATGCCCCCATCCCAGCATCCTGCACTGCTCCCAGGCCACATCCAAAGGGCTGAAGGAAATGGGAAGAGCAACCTCCAAGCGATGCAAAGAAAGGGAGTCAAAGCGCACACACACCAATACCAGGGCTCACCCCACAGCAGTGGATGGGTTTATGGGGAGGGACAAGCAGAGGTCTGGGAATGAAGAGCACAGGGTGAGGAGAGAAGGGCCCAGGAACACCACACAGGCACCTCTACAGCCCTAGCCACGGGAGCATGCAGACCTCACTGGGAATTTTGGCTTGGAAAGGTTCTGGCACAGGCAGAGTGGAGGGATGTTCTCACAGAACTGCTGCAGAACCTGGGGCAGGAGGGACAGAGGTGGCGGCACCACGAGCTGGACCCTAACAGTGACAGGCCACTTGGAGATCCTGCAGAGGAGAGAGTTAACAGCAGTGACACACTTTTGTCTGGAGAAGTCACAGGGGCTGGAAAGAACAACTCGAGGCCATAATTCTGCGGTCTGTCACTACCAGGAAACGTGAAATCCAGTGACCTTTCATCTCTGTGACAGAAATGCTGCACAGCACCTGGAGCCATCGCCCTCAAAATCCACTCTGACAAATTGGATGATAGGACATGAAGGAGAAAACGTCCTCTGCCTCCTTCACCCCCAGACTGGAGCCTCCCAGTGAAGTCTGCATGCTCCGTGTGGAATGTGGTATCCCTTGCCAGGAAGAGCCAGCCTTGAATGAGCTGCTGTGGTTAGTGAGACACAAGATAACAATCTCATTTCTTTGGCTAAGAAGGAACAAATCTCCAAAGCCATTTGTTCAGACTGCTCTTAAATGATGGGAGAGAAATCGGTATTGGCTTTCTATGAATCTTCAGGCCAGGAATGTTAGAATCAACAGATTTTTGCATTATCACAGAATCACAGAATTCCAGACTGGTCTGGGTTGGAAGGCATCTTAAAGATCATCCCCTTCCACCGCCTGCCATGGGCAGGACACCTTCCACTATCCCAGGTTGCTCTAAGCCCTGTCCAGCCTGGCCTGGGACACTTCCTGGGATGGGGCAGCCACAGCTTCTCTGGGCAGCCTGTTCCAGTGCTCACTGAATCACAGCACTTCTGCCCTTGGCAGAACATAGCTAATAAGATTATGAAAATCTACCTGACTCTATGGAAAGAGAATTATTCTCTCATTAATAGCAGCAACAGCTAAACAAGCAGACAAGCCATGCTCCTAGCAGAGTGCAGCAAATGATGCAGGGCTGTGTTTAATCTAAAACGAGGATTTCCCTTATCAAAATTTTCAGGGGTAGCTTTTGAATTGAGTATTTGCACCACAGAGATTACTCCCCCACAGTAACTGTATCCCTTGAGCTCTTCTGTTTGTCAGTCTGAAATTACAATCACAGGGACTAAAAACATTTTCATCACAGCAGAACACGGCACTGTGTCTTCACCACTTCGGCAGAAGACAAAAGCTACTGAATGGAAGGAAAAAATAAGTTTAAAAAGGGGTGTTTCAGTCATTTAAGCGGGTCTGTCGGCTTGTGTTATCTTCACGCATTTGTGAAACTGAGCTTTAATTGACTGGCTGAAGTGGAGAGCTGAAAGACAAAATCTTGGTCTCAAGATGAGCAGAGAGCTGCAAACACTGTGCTCCTCATTCATTAGGACGTGTCAGAGGGATTCAGATGGGAAGGGACACAGGAATGGCTGCTACTTCCACTTGAATCTCCCAGACTGTAAGAGAAAGGTGAACGGTGTGTGCCACACTCAGCTACATCCAAGAGCAGTAACAAACTGATCATCAGAGTCCCCATGACACAGGAACTGCCTTGGTGCCTACCAATTTCTATCACTGTGGGAATCACTTCATTACATTGTGAAGGACACAGCCAAAACTGCCAGCTTGGGTCAACTATAAGCCAGTCAGGCCCAGCAGCAGCAGGAGGAGCAGAAAACCCTTCCAGCTGAGGGGTCTCCATCCCTGCAGCCAGGCTGGGACACCAGGAGGGGTTCAGCTCCCCCCACAGCACCCCCATGCAGACATGCTCCTCCATCCCAAGGAACAGCCACAACCCTCCACTGGCTGAGCTGTGCTGCAAGACCCAGAGACCAGGATTCCCAAAGCATCCAGGCTGCTCTGAAAGGGATGGTGAGAGATATGTCCCTGCCTAAAACGGGCCCCAGATGTAGAGCTTTACGTGTATCCCCAAGAGATGAGCAAAGAGAGGAGTGGAGAGATTTGGCAAAACCATGAATGAAGCCTTCTGGTTTCCCTGTGAGAGTTCCAACGACCTCGCTGTGTCCCACAGTCCGTTCAGCAAGCAGCTGGTCTTCCTCCTGTCCTGCTGTCCTTGTTCCCACCAGCAGGAGCTGCTCTCTGCCTTTCCCCTGGTGTTTTGGGCACACTGTTCTGGGAAGAAAGATGCCTCTCACTCCTGGTCAGGGGGTGTCGGGGACTGCATCACAGAAAGCCACCAACCCCCCCAAAGGGGGCATGTGCTCCTGGGGGAAATGGCCACGGTGGGGAAATCCAGCAGCTCCTGGAGCTGTGAAAGCCCCTCAGAGCCTGCACTCCTGGGAAGCCTCAGGGATGCTCACAGGTGGGTTGATGTGATGCAGACTGGATGGGATGTGCTGCCACTGTAAATGAGGGGATTTGGGATGGTGCCCTACACATGACAGGAACACAGAGGCCACACAAGCTCCAGAGGTGTTTGTTGGGGTGTCAGTGGGTCTGAGCTCGGTGACAGGCCTGGGGACAGCCAGTGGTACCCCTGAGTCAGCAGCCCAGGACACCAGTCTTGGTGAGCGTGATGAGAAACACCCAAACACAGCTAAACAAAGGTAGTGCACAGAGCTGGGTAACAAACCTCTCCTCTGAATTTTAGCAATAAAAACAAACCAATGAGATTTCCTATGAACATTTTCTGCTTTCCAACAGAAACACAAAACTCAATGAAAATCTGACAAAATATTTTGGAACAAAAATACAGATACAAACCTCAGGATTTCAAGTAATATTTATGGTGTAATTTTCCAAACATTTTTTAATTTTTCAAGTTCCTTCAGTAAAGTATTTTATGTTTCCAACTCTTTGCCTTTACTCTGTCTTACAGAGCAGAAAATGTGTTGAAAATGTTATTTCTTTACCAACATTTTCATTTAGGTACAAAAGCAACCATTACTCTTATCCAGCAGCAGTGATGTATGTAAGAGCAAATATATACGGATAGTGAATTCTGAACACAAGGAGATGAATCCAAGTAGCCATTTCTTACATGTTTAGAAAGCTGTGAAAAGGTTTATGTGCAGCTGCCTTACCTTTTAATCTGTCTTCACATCTACATTAGGAGAAAGGTGCTTTTTCAGAGATGTATGTGAGTACAGGCTGTGGTACAAGACCCGGGAGACCTTTTTGGAAACAGATTTCTTTTCCAAAGAGGTACTTTCAGTCATTTCAAAGCATTTCTTGAAAGTATTGATGAATTTAATTCGTGAAATCACCTCAGCAGGACAATGAGGGCCAGTGCTATACAGAGACTCCAGCACACAACTAACAATGTTCTGGGCTTGGTGGGTGTCTTACTGGCCACAGGAAAAGTTCTGCCATTGATTTTGGTGAGTTTTCCCTTGGCCTCAGACAATAACCATTGGTTTGTTAATGCAGGGACAAAGGCCCTCTCTTTTCGCATGTATTCGATTCTCTGTTAGACTAATTTTGAGAAAACAACAAAGAAATGAAACAACAATCACTGACATCAGGACTCAATCCCATAAAACCTTTATCAATCCAGCCATTCCATCTCTTCAAGGAGAAGACACAGGCCAGGAAGGGCAGCTTAAATTTTCACCCCATAACTAAAACACCAGGAGAAGGACCAGCCCATGCCGATGGAAACAAACCCCAGTAACAGCATTTCAATCAAAAGTTTCCTTTATATCTCTGTTAGAGCCAACACGGTTCTTTCTTACCATTTTTGCAGACAGGACAACACTGCTCTGGTTCATAGACCGGGTTGACACACTCGGGGACTGCGCAGTCTGCTACAACACAGTGAACTTCATTGCTGGGCTCGCAGCGACACCATTCGCATGGCGAGGGCTAGGAACAAATCTCAAATTAGCCCATTGCCTCCCGCAGCTCACAAGTTTGCAACATTCCCATCTTGCCACAAGATAAACACATCAGCGTTCAATACCCCTTGACTGAGTCATTCATTATGGGTGATACAAGTTAACCTCTGGCACAAAGAGCAACAGCTGAAATAGGAAACCACAACATCAGCAAAACCAGCGAGCTCAGCCTTGCTTTCCCATGCAGAGTGTAAGGTCTTTTAGGCTTTTAGGTCCTTTTGCCAAAAAAACCCTGAGCTGCAGCCTCTAGGCTGTACCTTGCTGTACCCATCTGTTTTATCTTACACGTGTGGCCAGAAGAAGAGCAGGATTTGTGGAAGGTCCTGAGTGGTGGTTCGTTCCAGGAAGGGAGGACAGGCTGATTTTCCAGGCTGTACCCATCTCTCACGTAGGCCACCACTGCCAGGCACCCCCAAGCTGTTGGAAGGGTGCTTCTGGGATGACCTGTCCATCCCCCAGCCTCCTGGGGTGTTTTCATTCCCGCTTTTCAGGGCAGAGGAGAACAGTGTCTCTCTTGGAGGTCAAATCCATTTTATTCCATGTTTGTGCAGCACCTGCCTCAGGGGTCTGTGAGCACTCCTGTAACACAGCCATGAGTTCTCAGCCTGGCCCCTCTCCTGCTTGCTCCAAAAAGGTTTGTGAGCTTCCATAAAATATGTAAATAATTAAGAGACTGACTAATTCTGCTGAGTCAGGGAATTCAGAATCGAAGCACCCAGCTAAATGGTTTTGTTTCAGCACCATCAATTTGGCCAGGGAGTTCTATCCACCTCCAAATTGCACAGAGTTGTTACTGTCTCAACCTTTAAAAAGCTGTGAAAATCTGCTGAAAACATAGAAAGGTCAGTGTTTTAAGGTCCCCAGTGACTTATGTGTGTGCTAGTGTCATGAAATCATGGCAACAGAGCTAAGGAAGGAGAATAAGAGGAGAATTGAAAGGAAAATAACTTCCTTTCAGTACCAATACGTTCCATATGTAACTCCCAGTTTCTCAGCATCCATCACTAACATTTCAGTGAGTAAATGTGGGTATTGGGAAAAATTCTACTTTATGTGAATCTGCAGCTGTGGGAATTCCTCAATATTAAAAAATATTGCTCAATATTAGAAAATAAAGTGGGATGCAAAGAAAGAAGGATTCATCCTGATGTATTTCAGACCTCAGTGCTGGGTCACGCATTTCTACAAGATAGATATGACCTGTGAGCCTTGTTTGTGGCTTGTAAGAAGCTCTTCAGTTCACCTCTAAGAAGCTCCATGTGTCTTGAGTCGAATAATTTATTCCCAGGAAATTTATTTCTACCTTAAAATGCAATAATTAAAGCTTCCCTTGCTTTGTCTCAGCATCTGCAGTCTATAATTCCCATCACCTCTCATTTGCTCATGGCTTTGGCAATTTAGATAAAATCAGCACTCCTTGAGCAAGGGAAGAAGAGTGTGGAGGTGGAATTCCTCTCTCTAATTATCGTTCCTCTTTCAATCCTGCTTTGATTTCTGTCTGAAGCACCAGGAATCTAAATTCATTTGACTGACATTTCTTATTCAAGGCTATTTAATAGGAAGAAACAATACAGAAGAAAACAGACAGAGCTATTTTCTGAGGGATCAATAAGAAAATTGCTGCTTTGTTTTTACTCATTTCAATCACTAATTATATGGAGCAGTAGAACTAGATCTTGTGATTTGTGGAAGCTTTCACTGACGTCTCCTCCAGGGCTTGTACCCATCCTCACTACTCCAGTGGCTGCAATGCTGAGGAATAAGTGATGCTTTTCCAGGGCTGCAGCCCAATCCACGGCTTGAAGAGGATCAGCACAAGTGGAAGCTGCCCCTAAACGACTCTGCAGCTGAGCAGATGAGACATGACACACACATCTTCTGCCTCAGCCGGGGTGGTGCAGCCTGAAAATGACACTGTAACAAAGCACGATGTTGCCTGATGCTCAGAGCAGCTTTCCAAGCGGGAAGAGCTGCACGCAATTAGAGAAGGAAAGCACACCCTGGCAGAACACAGTGAACTGATGCCTTTAGAAGACTGACCTAGAACAGAGGCCAGACAGAGCTAAAGAATAAAGTAGGAATTTATTAAAAGGCCTCAATGAATCCACCTTGGGCAGCACAAGAGCCCAGCCAGGGCTACACCCAAGATAAACCCAAAATGGACAGCAGGTCACAGGGTCTCTCACTTTCTATAAATTCTGGTCCATTTGCATACTGGAGTTAATTGTCCAGTTATAGCTTCAGGAGATGAAGTCCCATCCTCTTGTTTTTCTCTCTTCAGTTCACCATTGTTTGTACTTTTTGGGCCTGAAGCTTAGAACAGCTGTCCTTGGACAAGCTGGAAAAGGATTGTTCTGCCTGCCTACCCTGTGAAGAGAGCTTGCCAACACTTAATAAGAAGCTCAGAGTTACACACTAAAGCAGCACAGAATCTGAGAAATACAAAAGCTAAAACTTAAGGCATCATTTCCCCCCTTTAGAGGCTTGACCTAAGCTACCAGATGAAAAGGCTGCTTTGGCATGAACCAGATCTTTCCCTGCCACCTCCTCCTCCCCGCTGTATTAAGGTCAAGCCACTTGGTCTTGTCACCAGGATCTTCCTTTGGTCACTTGTCAGTGCCACTTACCATGGGGGACTCCAGCCCTCCTGTCCACTTGGTTTATGGGAGCCTTGGCACTTTCTCCCATGGGATGTGCTTTGGGATCCAATCTGCAAATCCCTGCCCATTCAGAAAGGACTTTGTCCCAAGCACACTGATTGAGCATTTTGAAGCTGTTGTCTGCAGGCTCTGCATCCATCTATTCCTTCCCCTGGTGCTACCCTTCTTGTGGAACAATTCTGGGACACTGGCCAGAAAGTCCTCTGTCTATTGGTACAGGTAGCAGGAAGACCAAGCAGCAAAATGACAAACTGGGAACCAGTGAAGAACAGGGAACCAGCAGAAGATGTCCTTAAGTTTGGTTTCCTGTTTCCCAGTTTAAAGATTTATCCCCCATGAAAGAGGGGTGGTTTACACTTTTGTAGCCACTGCAGTTCAAACAACAATTCCAGAAAAGGAACTTTCATCCCTGCTGAAGAAGGATACTGAAAAAACACAGGGGATTTTCTGGAGTAGGAAGGAAAGAGGACACTGTCCCACATGAACAGTGCAAATGCTTTACCTGTGTCCCTTAAACTGATATTCTGGAAAGAGTGTTAAGATTAAAGGATCACAAAAGGTGGTAATTTACTCACTCCCCTGTCCAAGGCAGAAAAATCTCTTAGAAAAACTCTCTAGGGAAGGATTTATTAGGCAGCATTTCAAGAGCTGTTGGTGCAGAAACATTCTTCTGACCACTGCCCAAAAGGAAAGGGTGCTCACGATGCCCAGCCACAACATGGATACAAGTCCACACCATTCCGTGGTCCTGCACTGCTCAATGTGATTTCAGAAACGGCTCTCCCAGGAGCAAGCTGGGCCCTTCTCTAGAAGGTAGCACTCAGTAGAGCAGTTTGACTTGGCAAACCAGTGCAAAGCACTGAAATTCTTTTTACCCCATCTCCAGTTCTAATGGGGGTGAGAGCAGTGACACTCAGAGCCAGTGGGGTGATATGTTCTTGGATGTTGTTGTCAGCGTAGGGCCAAGTCAAGCCAAGCTGCTGGGAAGCAGAGGTGGCCAACATCTATCCACCATCCAAGGGCTTTTAACAGCAGCTGAAATGGGACACAGAGCACAAGGGACCTTCTCAGTCTCTGCACTGACCCTAATCCACCTCTCCTGCAGCCAGTCACTTCAAAAAGAAGCAGCACAACCCATTCATAACCACCCCTAAGATCACAACTCAATTTCTATTTCTCTTCTGTTCTACTGATCCCAAGGAGGACTGTGAGCCCAGGTTTGGCTGGGAGGGCAGGTTCAGTCCCTGGGCAATCCTGTGTGGGATGGCCCCATCACACACCTCAGGATGGCTGGACGAAGGAGCCAGCACTCCCTCTGTTGTGTGGCTGGGAAACCTGAGTCTCAGGTGCTGTCAAATGGGAAACATCTGCAATCAGCAGAGTTTGTTAACAATGCAAGAAGGAAGGAAAATTAGAACAGAGAATAGAAAATACACGCGGCTAATAAAGATTTTATGTGCATGAGCACATAATGATAAACTTGACAGATGATATAAACAAACACATGAAAAAGGCAGCAAAGGAAACAGAATGAAAAACAAGATACACCCTGCGCAGGGGAAATTGGGAAACCAACCAGGATATGGGTGTCCCACCTCCTAATCTTCTCTCTTGCACCCATAGTCACCAGGTCCCCACCGCTTACATCCTCTTTTTGGAAGCAAATGCCAGCACACATAGGAATTATGACTGCTATCATCCAGCTACTCCTCTCTTACAGGGTTGGGCAGCACGTGGGTTTTTCTTTTATCAGCTACAAGATTTCAAAAACCCACAGAAATTTCATACCTCTGAGAGGTCTATTTTGTGAGCAGGACTTCAAGTCCTCTGCAAGGACTGGTGGACAGCCAGAGAGATCACACGATCAAACAATTCTTTAGGCAATAGCCAGCCTACAATACTGATTATTCCCAAACATAAGGGAGAAGAAAATGGAAATCTGAATTCAGAACTCAGAATGTTTAAATCTACTCCTTTATGCTTTTCTAAAACTGAAGAGATCTGAATCAAACTTCTTTTAGACCATGGCAGCTGGTACAACTACACCAATAACTGATACACAAAACTTCAAGATTTTAGGCCACACCTTGCAAGAAGCACCTCAGTCATCTCATTCAGTATGAGAATTCTCTTGTTGCAAGTACTCACTGAACCTCATCTCCGTATTTCTCCTTTAGTTCATGTCTTGGCCATAGTTACAGCACCCAAGCCACCCCTCTGCTGCCCCAAACATGGGAAAGGCTTTTATATATCCTCACCAAGTAGGGAATATTCTCCCTGAGTGAATGGAGGAAGCATATCTGTATCT